ACAAAGGGGAAATCGAACTTAAAGCTAAACTTTGGCGCTTACAGCTTGGCGTCGGCGTCGGCGTCGCTGCCGTGGTTCACCGAAAAATGCTGATCCCGCACTACTTTCGTCACCTGGGGCCCTCGTTCGTAAGAATGCACCGTAATATTTTGCATTCTCTTTCCGGGCTCCGCAGTGGTGACTGGGTTAGTAGAATTTGGCAACTGATCTAGTTCTTGCCCGGAAGCAATAACCCAGTGCCCGTTTTGCATGACCTGTTGCTCAGTGTTAACTGCACTCGCCTCTTCAGGTCAACGCCGTCCTCGGTCTTCGATAGACCGGCTAAGGTTTTTCGAAGTTCTACCATTCTGGACCTTTTCCTTAGACGGAGTAGCATGAGCACCATTGCTCCAATTACCAAAAGGATCACGAAGCTGAGTCCCATAGTCAGTAGTCCGTGTGTGTGTTTTTTTTTAAAGTTATCTTTCTTTATCGAATCTTCTCTCTCTGAGACTTACGATTAGTAGTCAAATCTTAATCTAATACAGTTATTTAATTAATTACAATTAAATATTTAAAGTACGGCCCCAACTGTTTTTGCTGGGTGGGAAGGTCTCTTCGCCGGAGTCGTGTATGGCTAGCCTGCCAAGTTAAATTCTGTGAAAGTCTATTTGGATGGTGCCGAAGCTTAAGCTGGTACTTTGCTTTGACCTTGCCAATTTCGTCTTTAACAGATCCCCGATTTAAATCTTCGCTGGTTGGCGGTTTATCAACGTAACAACGGTTCCCATTAAGCACAGCGCGGTGAATATTGCACACAGTGTAGTACACAATATCGAAATTAATGGAAAGCCAGTCGCTGATCGACCACGACGCCTCTCTGGAGAGAAACTCGCTACCGCCAAAGAGGAGGTTAATTTTCTACTCGACCAAGGCATTTGTCGTCCATCCAAGAGTGTTGGGTCAGCCCTCTTCATATGGTTTCCAAGCGAAATGGTGGTTGGCGAGCTTGCGGAGATTATCCTAAACTTAATGCTATAACGGTGCCCGACCGCTATCCAGTAGCACATGTTCAGGATTTTGCGGAAAAGCTTCATGGCAAAACTATATTCACGACCCTTGATTACCAAATTCCGATGGCCAATGGGCATATTGAAAAAACCGCCGTATGCACACCATTTGTACTCATAGAGTTTCACTATATGCCTTTCGGTCTGAAAAACGGACAGCATATTTAGGGGCATCGATTTGGTCTACTGTTATATAGACGACATCCTGATCATGTCAGCAACTCCAGATGAACACGAACAACACTTGCTGACGGTTCTCTCCATACTTCAAAATAATGGTTTGAGCATTAATGCAAATAAATGTCGAATCGCCAAGCCCGAAGCAAAATTTTTAAGTTAGACCATTGACGAAAACGGAATACGACCGCCAGAAGATCGAATCAATGCCATCATTAACTACAATCGACCCGAAATAGTCTGCGAACATGGCCGATTCCATCGTTAATTACTATCGCCGATGTATTCGCAATGCATCTGCGATCCAAGCACCACTCAGCGAAATTTGTCGTGGTATGAAAAAGAATGACAAGAGATTAATTGATTGGACTTTGCATGCAACAAAGGCTTTTGAGATATGCAAGCGTCCTGCTGATAATGTTCCATTAAGTCTGTCATGCGAGGCTTCCGATACGGCTATAGGTGCAGCCTTAAAACAGCAAGTCGACGGCCGGTGGCAGCCGCTAAGATTCTTCTTCAAACTGAAAAGAATTATAGCACGTACGACCGAGAGTTGCTTGCCATCTACGACGCCATACGCTACTTTAGACATATACTGGAGGCGCGTGTTTTTGTTATTAAAACAGATCCCAAGCATGCCTTCCCTCAGAAGCCTGAGAAAGCTTCACCCCGCTAGCTTCGACACCTTGATTTTATTTCACAATACTCCACGAATATAATGCATGTATCTGGTTCAAATAACACAGTGGCCGACGCACTATCACGCTTAAATGCTATTTCAATGTCCACAGCAATGACACTCGATAAAATAGAATAGGCACAGAAGAACGACAGCGATCTACAGGATCTTTTACAGGGTAGCACTAGCCTTAATCTGCATCGCATCAAATTTGATAAAAATGTTTCGGTTTATTGCGACATATCAACTGGAGAACTTAGACCGTACAGTCCACAACCATTGCGCCATTGTGTCTTAGCTGCCGCCCATAATGTCTCCCATCCAAGCAGCCGATCCACTATTCAGCAGATACGCCGCAAGTATGTTTGGCCCCTTATGAAGAGGGACGTATCATTGTGGACACGAAATTGCTTGCCATGCCAACGTGCTAAAATCCATCGTCATAGCAAAATGATGCCAGATAAAATCGCAACGCCTGATGACCGTTTTGACCATGTATATTTAGGCATAGTCGTTATGCCTATGGTGGATGGATACTGTTATTGTTTGACGATGATCGATCGGTTCTTCAGATGGCCTGAAGCGGTCCCTTTGAATGACATGTCTGCTGACACGGTAGCTTCGATGTTCTGGTCAAATTGGATCACATGCTTTGGCTGTCCCAAGACGATAACTACAGACCAAGGCTCACAATTTGAGTCCGCGCTCTTTGGAGTATTATGCGATTTGGTTGGTAGCGAGCGCATACACACGACGATGTGTACACCAGAAACATCTTGGCTTGCGCTCTTGCCAACAGTTTTACTCGGTCTTAGAACATGCTACAAAGAAGATCTGGGTACATCATCGGCTGAAATGCTCTATGGAACAAGTGTTCGTCTCCCAAACGAATTTTATGATGACATGTCAAAACCACTTCTCCCAAAGGAGTTTATTGAAAAATTTAGAGAGCATATGCGTTTGATTCGACCAGTTTCAGCAGCGCATCATTTGAACAAAGACAAAAGTATGTTCGTGCTCAAACATATGGATGATTGCTCTCACGTCATGTTGAGAAACGACTCTGTGCGACAGCCCTTGGAACCACCCTATTCGGGGCCATATGAAGTGGTCGGACGTCCAACAGATCTTGTGTTTGTCATAAAAATTAACGGCAACGATGTGGCTATTTCAACGGAACGCCTCAAGGCGGCTTTTGTCCCGAAGAATGATGACGCTACTCATATCTCACACAACCCTAAAGTGTTGCGCACATATTCTAACACTCGCAAAGTCAGTTTCACTCCCAACTTGGTCACTGGGGAGGGGGTAGCAACACCAAAATAAGGCTGTTGGCTATCGAGATCGATATCAACGAGAGGCGATATCTGGGATGACGGAGTAGCGAACGAACGGCAGCATCCACGTAATTATAATAAGTTAAATATTCGTTGTGTATTAAATAAATGAATTGGTAATGCTAATTGCCAAAATTCCTGTTTACTTTGGAATCCACCTTGTATGTACATACATAAGCATAAATATATAGATTGTGACTACCAGTTCTCACTTATATGTGCCACCCGACCGCAAGTCCTCAGGACGTTGCACGCTCGGTCGAGTTATCCCCAAAAAGGAGGGCTGAGCCTGTCCCACGCGTGACATTTAATTGTGAATCAAAAATCGAATCGAAAAACAAGAAAGGAATGCTAAAGTCGAGCAGGCTCAACTCTTAAATACCCTGTACCACCCCACAAAAAATTAATTTAATTAATTAATTAATTTAATTTAATTAATTAACTAAATTAATTTAATTAATTAACTAAATTAAATATAAAATAGTCCATGCATGCATACATACATTTACATTTACATCAGAATCGTGCCTTATGCGTGTTTGTGTACTTGTACATATGTATGTATGTGTGCATTGGGCCTGGTTATATGGCTATAACTTTCTTTCCAATCATTCTATAATAATGAGACTTGGTATATGGTTATATAATAACTAACCTAATATGATTACCAAATTTTAGTTCAATATTCCAGGAATTACGGGAGTTATAGAAAATCGGTAATAGGGGGGGAGTGGGGGGGTGGATCAGAAAAAATGAACAAACGCGTCCTTTCTTGGTCTCAGGAGAATCTGTATACCAAGTTTGGTTATTCTAGCTCTTATACTTTCGGAGATCCTTGCGTTCATACAGACAGACAGACGGACAGACAGACGGACAGACGGACATGGCTATATCGACTCGGCTTGTCATGCTGATCAAGAATATATATACTTTGTGGGGTCTACCAAGCCTCCTTCTGTGTGTTCCATGTGCACTCGCACAAAACTAATATACCCTTGTACCCTTTGGGTACAGGGTATAAAAAATTAAATCCCTCAATACTATCAATAGTTCCATTGAATGCAATAAAAAGAAGATTTAAATAACAACATTTTATAATTTATTGAGATCAATTAAAACAAATCAAAATTTCGTATTACAAATAATGGTTTATCCACTGTTTGTGTCTTAAAAAAACATCAGCAATCAGAAATTAATTTATTGCTCGAGTCAATTATAAAAAGCTGTAGGTAGTATGATATTTCTCATGCTGTACTAATTGCTATGTCCGTGAGTGTGTGTATGTAATGTCTTTAACTATTTGATACTAGCAGGTATTGCCCGTCTTATTTGAAATTGTATTTATTTTGTGTGTGCATGACCTACCCATATATTTTCACCTTATTAATTACCAGTAGGAAGGCATTTAAGGTATATAAAAGAACATTTTCTGTTCTTGACAAAAAATTGTTCAGTAGTCCGTTACATTTTTGTTCTTGCCAAAATATTTCGTTAAACGTACACACCCACACATGACCACTATAACTAATATTTTTTAAAGTTCGTTTTTCCCTCTTCGAGCTCGAATTTTCCAAAAGACTCTTAGTGCGCACCTGCACTGTGATGGGTACTTGAGTCCAAATTTCAGCTTCTTAGCTTTACCGTTTGAGCTGTGCTTTGATCATTAATCAGTCAGTCTGGACAAACTGTTTTATATATATAGATTATTTAAAATAATACTGTAATTAACTATATTCTTTTTTTTTTCTTTTTTTGCAGAGAAAAGAGGCAGAGTTATTAAAAACATTTCTTCCACAAAAGTTTGAATATGTCCTTTTTATTCCTATGACTCCAGTCCAGGTATGTATGAAAATTAAATAACTTTTAAACTAAGATTTATATAAATTGTTACACTTAGCAAATTGAGGCAAACCTTTTGATAACATTTGCATATCATTTAAATATAAAAAAAACTAAACCAAACTCGTATAGGGTACATATAAAAATATAATTAATAAATTAATTTAAATATAAAATATTCAACACATGCATACATACATAAGTGTTTATGTACAATTTCAATATAATAAATTTACATTTGAATCGTGTCTCTGCGTATTTATATGCGTGTATGTATGCAGCACAAAGTTGAACCAAAGCAGTAACAACAACAACAGCTACGGGAAGAGCTCTAGACAGCGCATGGGCAGCGATTTTATTTATGGCTATAACTTTCTTCAAAATTGACCATAATCACTAACTGGATGGAATTACCAAATTTGAATTCGAAATTCTATGAAGGGAGTTATGGGAAATACAAATAGCGGGGGAGTGGGGGGTGCATCGAAAAAAAACTCAAACTGATATTTTCCCGGGCTTAGGAGAATCTGGATACCAAGTTTGGTTATTCTAGCTCTTATACATTCTGAAATCCTTGCGTTCGTACAGACAGACAGACGCACGGACATGGCTATATCGACTCGACCTGTCATCCTGATCAAGAATATATATACTTTATATAAAAAAATGTAATTAATTAAATTAAATATAAATATATTAAATATATTTATGTACAATTTCAATAGATTAAATTTATGCTTGTATGCAGTAAAGCAATAAGTCAAAGCAGCAACAACAACTTCGGTAGAGCTTCGGCAGAGATTATATTTAAGGCTATAACTTTCTTCATAATTGACCTATCATGATGAAACTTGGCTTACGGACTCCTGAATACCAAGTTTGGTTATTCTAGCTCTTATACTTGCTGAGATCCTTGCGTTCATACAGACAGACAGACGGACATGGCCTCTACTCGTCTTCTCATACTGATCAATAATCTCTATATATATAAAACAGTTTGTCCTGACTGACTGATTGGTGATCAACGCACAGCCCAAACGGTAAGAGCTAGAAAGCTGAAATTTGGACTCAAGTATCCTTTCATAGTGTAGAGAGTTTGGAAAATGCGAGCTCCAAAGGGTCCCCCCAAACAGGCTCCAAAGTTTGTATGAAAAATCTACAATTTTCATCTGATTAACTTCAAACTTAGTTTGAATACTCTCAGACAAATTCCAAGAAAAACTGTATACTTGGTTTTTTGGGGACTGAAATATGGGAGTTTTCCTATTCACCTTTTCAAATGAAAAGTTTGTGTTATAAATTTTTTCCGATCGATTTCAAATTTGGAGACCGTAATCTATGTAACTAAATCTACAACTTTGCATTCAAGGATTTTCAAAATATGCATTTTACAAATGCAGGCAAAACAAACAATACAAAATATCAAACAATTGGGGACAACTAAGTTTACACAACACACAGCTGTTCGTGTAGTTACGTGCAAGCGATTGAAATAGCCAAAGCAAAATGTGAGACACTTATGTGTGAATGTACACACATATGTACACATCTATGCACATGTACACATCTATGTATGTATGTTCATTCGTCTTGCACATGAAACATGCATGCATATGTACATATGTATGTATGTGGGCCTGTGTACGTACATATATAGCATGTATGTACATTCGTATGTATGTATGTATGTATACATTGGACAATCGAGCACTGTTGTTTGATTGTAATAAATAATGTACTACGGTTTTAAGTAAATTTTTAAAACGAAAAACAACAACAACTGCAAGTCATTGGCTCGCACTTCTTCTTTTGTTTTGATAATTTACGCCTATTAATTTCAAAGGATGTACATATATGTTTGTATAGGATTTGTTCTAATTAATCTCAATAAATTATAAGATGTTATTATTTAAATTTTCTTTTAATTGCATTCAAACTTCGATGGAATTATTGATTGTATCGACGGATTCAACTATCGATAGTTTTGATGCTCTAACACATAGAGCATCTGACACATGCCCATCTCTAGCATCTCAGCTGATCGCATATTTACAGCGACTTACCGTTTTAGTGTTAGCTAACAACGCTACAAATGTATTCCGAACAAATCTAAGAGTCATTTACCGTGTATGTACATATCAGCGTTGCCGAACGCTCCAATTTTGTCGGGACGTCCCGATTTATAAATCAAAATTAAATGTCCCGCGTCGGACTTTTCGGGGATAACTCGACCGTGCGTACAACGTGCTGAGGAAGCACACAGTTAAGTCAGCACTGGCAGTCCGTCCGGTGCGTAACGAAGATATGTAAATATGTACGTATAACCATACATAGTACTTATTGTACTATATTTGCTATTTGGAAAATGAACTCTTTAAAAAACTTTAGAGAGCGTCGAAAGAAGAATATCATACAGTAAATAAACTTATAATTATAAGCACATTTCCAGCAAAGATGGAAAAGACCTGCTAGTATTATATATGTGATCTTGTGTAGCATATAATGTTTATTTATACCAAGATATATAATATAGTTTTAAATATAATGATCGAATGGTGTGGACGGCGACCACGTAGTAGATGCTAATATCGGCTTTTCCTCTCTGCTTCGACGGCTGACTTCTCTAACGGCTTCTCTGCTTCTCTGCACGACTGTGTTCAACGTGCGGCTGACAACTGACTACTTAGTACATTTTCTACTAACTACTTTTGACAGAAATTAGTACCAAGTACTGTTGGCGATGCTGCTTCTAGGTGCTCCGCCATTCTCACTGTCCTGCCCATCTTACATACAAGTATATGTACTTTGTGGGGTCACTTTGTGAACTGCAAACGTAAGTCCTCAGCTTAATCTTATTTTTTTTTCAAATGCTAATGATGCATATATATACTGACTTCAGTAAAGCATTTGATTCAGTGAATCAAGATGTTTTCCTATTGAAGATTGATCGTACTGAATTTACTGATACTTTTTTGATTTGGATATTCTCTTATCTTAAAAATGGGTCCCAAGTCGGACATATCTAAACCTGTTGAAGTTACTCCTGGTGTACCTCAAAGTAGTGATTTTGGGACAATATTATTTGCTCTATTTATAAATGGCCTTTCGGCTATGTTGTCACATTCTCACATACTGATGTATGCCGATGATGTTAAGCTTATCCTATCCTATATTGTTTGATGTTTTGAGCTGCATGCAGCGATGGTGCACCAATTGCACCTTAATTGCTCGAAATTTAAGGTAATGATTTTTCAGCGAACCAGATTACATTTAGTCATCTAAACGGTTGACAATGAATCATTGTATACTGAGTATAGAGTATTCTACATTACTAGAATACTGCTCTTGCGTTTCGTGTACTATAAAACGCATCAGGATCGAATTGAGCCTATTCAGAAACAATTCCTTCTTTTTGCTCTTCGTGGTTTAAACTGGCATCGGAATAAAAAAAAAACAAACTCGACCTGCCTAGGGCTTAGGGGAACCTGGATACCAATCCTTGCGCGCGTACTCATATGGTACTGGTGCGCCAAGTATTCGGTTGCAAGCCCCTGGTTTAATTCCGTCCACTTGCTGAACTTGTCTACAAGAACCAGCAGATATGCGTTACCACTTTTGGACCTCGGAAGTGGCCCCATGAAGTCGGCGCATATGACGTCCCAAGCTGTATATATTTAGATATGGTATATATTGCCCAAATTTTTGTGCAGCAATTGGGTTGTGATGGATCTTCTGATCAGAATATCTATAAGCGCTCAACAGCCACGGGTGAAAGAGTTATTCCAAATATTATAATACTATCGAAAAGGGATACTTTGGAATATTGTAAAACCGCGACCATTATATTTTTACTATTTTCGGTCGATATTTTTCAAATACGGAAATAAATCTTCCGATTTACTCAAATCTACTGTAAGTGATAAATCTCAAGTTATACAAGTAGATATGTATACGTCCAATATTGCTTAAAATTAATGGTGGAAAACTACTATTGTGAAATATGCATGTATTCTTACTATGATTAATAGTAAAGTCAAGTTTACTTAAGTTTTACTTCTTTTTGCCTTCGCATATACAAGAAGTTTACCAAAGTAAATAGGACTTTAAAAAAAAAAGAACAAATGGTCTTTTTTGTAAAATCAATTTAATTTATTCAAAAAAGTCTCCTTCTGCTTCAATACAGCTTTTTGCACGATCCAAAAGCATGTCGAACGAGTGTTTTAGCTCGCACACACCTTTCGTTTTGGAGATGTTCAATTCCATTTCCATCAATTTCAATGATGATTTCAGTTGATTTTTGATGAATTCACGCACAGTTTCGATGGAATTTTCGGTGATCACGAATTTTGATTGGCCCACATGTTGATTGTCATTTATGTTCTCATGACCACTTTAAAAACGTTTAAACCACTCGTGCACTCTAATACGGGGTAGGCAATCATCGCCATTAACTTGTTCCATCAATTGAAACGTTTCGGTAAAAGTTTGACCAATTTTAAAACAAAATTTAATGTTGGCTCTTTGTTCGAAGCTCATTTTCGCACATACTGACACTTAAAACGCAATAACTTCACTTCCAATTAATGAAATGTCATGAAATTCTCATTTTATCTCATTTTATCTCAATCGATAAAGATAGCGCCACCAGGGGGCGCTAGATTCAAAAAGTCCTGTTTACTTTGGAACACACCTTGTATATTCCAATATCAAGACCAAGTCGGCCAATCAATATATATTGAGCTTCCAATCAACATGGGACTTAGCGTCGTGGTCACTATTTGATGCCTAAGTTTCGCCGATGGACACCAGCTTCAAGCAAACAGCGACCGACAGTTCTGCCAGCTCATTGTTGAATACCTGCACCTCGGGCGAGATAAGATTTGTGGTCAACTTTTATTCTGGTCTAGGGACAGCCTGTCAGGGTCCATTACTTTATCCTCGGGCTCGTGGCTATGGCTGCGGCTTGCTGCTCTGAAATATAATAGTTCTTGGTACCTTTGAGATTGTTCCATTAGGAGACCACACATACAGAATTTATGCAAGACTGCAAGTACATTAAAGAAATGTTAATGGGCAGAAATATGCTTAAGCAACTCAATTAAAATATACACAGTTGGTTCTAAGCTAGACAGTCGCGTAGGCGGTGGAGTCTTCTATGAAGAACTCGGTATAAAAAAATCCTTCAGACTTCCGGACCACTGCAGTGTGTTCCAGGCAACAATCCTTTATAGCTATAAAAGAAGATCTTCTTACACTGCCAATCCCAGCAGCAGATACCAGAGGAATCTGCATAGACTCGGATAGCCAAACGGCAAAAAAATCCCTAAACAGAACTGTCACAAATCGCTTCACGAGACGGCAGCACAGTTCTCTGTTAGCAGATCAAATGTGGACCAACGATTCAGATTCTAACAAAATCACGCGTCTAACGTGGCCCACTCGCAACAAAAAACGTTCCTCAAACCTCTGTAATTGGAGCAGAATTCAATGCTCAATTACAATAAGTGCCATCACTGGGCACTGGCTGTGCGGCACCCAGCCCTATTAAGGAAAAGACACCGTTTGGGTACAACTTCTTCCCTGATTTATCGGCACTATCGGAAGTGAAACCGAGGGACATTTTCAAATTCCTCCAGGCAACCGGATGGATGTAACACAATGGGCCAACCTTCAGGGCCTAAGTGAGTCAGGGTACTTCACCCTGGCTGCCGCATCTAACCTAACCTAACCTAAGGGAAAAAGCAAAAATAAGAAACCCTCATCCTTTTTAATCTTTGTATTTTTCATTTATTTATAGAACAAACTTTACGAATTCATTTTGGAAACTATTGCGAAAAGAGGCGACAGTCGGGGCAAAAGTCTAATCACAGACTACACGGTATTAAGAAAGGTATAGCACATTCAATAATGAACATGAAACACATTTACATTATTTTATTACTAGATATGGACGCATCCAAAAGTTTTAGAAGATGCTTGGAAGAACGCAATTTTTGTAAGCATCGAGTGGTCTTTCGTAAATATAATAAAACTGAGCTATCGTATTTTTGATAAAATGTTCCTTTTAGCAAAAAAATAAAAAAGATACAAAAAAAATTATAAATACACACTCTGATGATGATCAACCGGATGATATATACGACAGCCAAACTGGATCTATTTCTGTAACTAACGACTGGTGGCGGCAGTTTTTGTCCAATAAGGACCTAGAAACCATTATGCCAAGCAATAAACTGCGAACAATGTTTGCCATTCTTCGAATGTGCGAAGAAAAGGGAGAGAAATGGTGAGCCAAAAATTATTATGACAAGATTTGACTTTATTTGTTCTTACACGTCTAATTATACCCTGTATCTAAAGCGTAAAAGGTTATACTAGCTTATTGCGAGTGTACATGTAACACATCGAAGGAGTATTTTTGATCAGCATGAGCGTAAGAGCTGGTATAACCAAACTTTACATCCAGATTCCCCCTAACTCCGAGAAAGGACTAGCTTTTATTTTTGTACGATGTACATGAAATGTACAACGATATAATCGCTTTGCGGATAAAGTAAAAGACAGAAGGAGTCGTGGCTGACCCCACAAAGTATATATATTCTTGATCAGAATGAGAAGACAAGTCAAATTCGACAATTACATTTAGTTTGTGCTTATGTGTCCTCATGTTGCTGCCTTAGCTGAACTCAGTACTGGACTCTGTACTTGTACAAATATCTGTTTTATTTATTTTGTTAAAAAAAAAAACATTCATTTACGAAATATTTAATTTTCTTATCGATGTTACTTCTGCTTGCTTGTATTGTTGTGCTGTGCATTTTGAGGTATGGGCTGATGCACAGCTGGCGGAGTTTTTCGCACACGGGTTACCAATCTCTATATATAAAACAGTTTGTCCTGACTGACTGACTGACTGACTGATTGGCAATCAACGCACAGCCCAAACGGTAAGAGCTAGGAAGCTGAAATTTGGACACAAGATCCCTGTTATAGTGAAAGTGAGAAGGGGTTTCGGAAAATTCGAGCTCCAAAGGGGGGAAAACGAGCTCCAACGTTTGTATGAAAATTCTACAATTTTCATCCAATTAACTTCAAACTTAGTTTGTATACTCTCAAAAAGAATACAAGAAAAACTGTATACTTGGTTTTTCACCATTTTTCCTGGGGCATGAAAAAGGGGGGGTTTTCCGTGGAAAAATTGAAACACAATCAACACCCCACAGCCCAAACGGTAAAAGCTAGGAAACTGAAATTTGGGCTCAAGTATCCTATCATGGTGTAGATGCGCACTAAGAAGGGATTTTGGAAAATTCGAGCTCCAAAGGGGGGAAAAGTAGCTCCAAAGTTTGTTTGAAAATTCTGCATTTCTGAATCGATCAACTTTAAATTTGGTTTTTATAATCTATAAAGGAATACAAACAAAACTACAAACAAAACTGCAAATTTGTGTTGGAGCTTGAATTATTGGGGTTTTAATATTTATTCACAATTTCAAATGAAAAGTTTGTGTTATAAATTTAGTCCGATCGATTTCAAATTTGGGTAATATAATCTACGTAACTAAAATTACAACTTTGCCTTTAACGATTTTTATACTCTGTACATGAAATGTACAAGAGTATATTAGGTTTGCGGGAGCTGAAAAATGTAACAGGCAGAAGGAGGCGTGGCAGACCCCACAAAGTATATATATTCTTGATCAGCATGACGAGACAAGTCGATCTAGCCCTGTCTGTCTGTCTGTCCGTCTGTCCGTCCGTATGAACACCTGGATCTCAGAGACTATAAGAGATAGAGACAACAAATTTTGCACAAAGATGCGTTATGTGTGTATTCTATACGAGTTTGTTTTATTTTGTTTGATTTCCCCCCACTTCCCCCCAATGGGGGTTTTCCCGATTTTCCATTCGTATAATCGCCTATATCTCGGAGACTATAAGACCTAGGAACACCAAATTTTAGTCCCAGATGCCTTATGTGAATACGCAGAAAATGTATATTTTGGAATTCCCCTCCCTCCCCCCTCTACCCCGCAAATCGTAACTCCCGTAATTCTTGGAATTTCGAAATAAAATTTTGGAAATACCCCCAGTTGGTTATTATGTGTCCGTATGCCGATATTTCATTATGATAGACCGATTTAACAAGAAGTTATAGCCATAAATATAATTGCTGCCACGCGCTGCCCGCGGCTGTTGTTGATGTTGCTGTTTGGTTGACTGCGAAAATACTTACACAGACACGAATAGATGCGCATAGGCATACATACACTCACACAGACGCAATTGCTATGTAAATGTGCAATTATACACCCTTTACGTGAGTTCGAATACCGAGAGAGGTAAAATCGATCAAATTTTTTTTTTTATTTTCTTAATTTTTTTATTTTCTATAATTATTGTAAACATATGTACAGAGTATTTCAAAGTCGGGACACCCGACTTTAGCTTTTTTACTTGTTAAAGTATGCATTTTACAAATGCAGGCAGAACAAACAATACAAAATATCAAACAGTTGGGGACAACTAAGTATACATACACACACACACAAGCATACATACAAGCAGCTGTTCGTGTAGTTGCGTGCAAACGGTTGAAGTAGCCAAAGCAAAATGTGAGACACTAATGTGTGAATGTTCATTTGTACACATGTATGTACATACATATGTATAAAAGTACATTCGTCTTGCACTGACAGGGCAAGAAATGTTAATTAATTAAAAATTATTACAATTATAACATAAACATTTTTATGTTATTTTTTCTTTGTTTAGTACATTTGGCATAAGGGGTTTTTAGGACAACGGACTACAAGGGCGTACGCAGGTTGGGCAGGGGGGACATTGCTCCCCTTAGAAAGAATTTCGCATTATGAATTACACCAGCACCATATGTATTACATACGTACATACATATGTACATACGTCTGTATGTATAGTATGTACATATGCACATCAATAAGTATGTATGTACGTACATACATTCTTATATACATATATAGGTTTGTATGTATGCAGTAGGCCATCGAACACTGTTGTTTAATTGTAATAAATAGTGTTCTATGTTTTCAAATCAAAATTTTTAAAACAACAACAACAACAAGTTATTGGCTCGCAAATCTTCTTTCGTTTTGATAATTTACGGCTGTTAATTGCATACGCAAAATGACAAAAGTTTACAGTTACCGTACACATGCAAATACATTTGTATGTATTTATGTACATATGTGTACAGTGAATAATCGAATACAGTATTATAATCAATAACTCTCAAACGTTTTTTTTCGTTGTATTTGTATTCGACATGTATTACGATATATCAACACAAGTATCGATATTTTCGATATATCGCATTTAATTTTATTATTGGGGTTTTTATATTTATTCACTTTTTCAAATGAATAGTTTGTGTTATACATTTTGTCCGATCGATTTCAAATTTGGGTAGTGTTATCAGCATAACTATATCAACAAATTGGCATTCAACGATTAAAATATAGCAATATGTTTTTTACTTGCCATATGTATATCAAATATCAAATAGTTGGGGACATCCCATACACACACTCACACATACATACAACAAGCAACAGTTCGTGTCTATGTGTGCCCATGCATACATACATATGTACAAGCATATGTATGTATGCCTGTATATGTATGTAGCATGTACATACAAAACAACAACAACAACTTCAAGTTGTTGGCTCGCACATCTTTCGTTTTGACCATTTAATGTTAATTACAAAGGCAAAACGCCAAAAGTTTACAGTTACCGTCGCTAGGCAACGACTGCGTAAGCGATAGTAAAGCAGAAACCGAATAACGGAGCTACGTATATTCTGCTTCGCATTGCGGGCAGATGTATGTATATGATTTGTTCTTATTGATGTCAATAAATAATTCGATTTTGTTATTTAAATATTCTGCTTATTGCATTCAAACTTCGATATTTTGATGGTATCGGTGGCTTCAACTATCGAAAGTTTTACTCTAGCAAATTGAGATGAGAATTGTTAGTGCTTTTTGATCGTGGCTCATCGCTGCACGGCATTGACACGAGTGCCGTGTTTCATATTCCGAGTTTGTGCGTGACCGTATTGACTCAATATGGCACAAAAGACTCAAATGTGAATTTAAAATTAGGATATACCCTTATAATTATTCCCCCTTTTTTGCAAATCGTCTATCTAAAAACGTTGCGTTATCTCTATATATAAAACAGTTTGTCCTGTTTGTTTGTAATTGGTGATCAACGCACAGCCCAAACGGTAAAATATGAAATTTGGACTCAAGTATCCTTTCATAGTATCCATCATAGTGTAGAAGCACACTAAGAAAGGCTTTTGGAAAATTCTAGCTCCAAAGGGGGGAAAACGAGCTTTAAAAAATATTAGTTATAGTGGTCATGTTCGTTTAACGAAATAGTTTGGCAAGATCAAAAATGTAACGGACTACTGAACAATTTTTTGTCAAGAACAGAATGTTCATTTAAATACCTTAAATGCCTTCCTACTGGTAACTTATAAGGTGAAAACATATGGGTAGGTTATGCACACACAAAATAAATACAATTGGAAACATTATATTGAGCCGGGTTAAGACGGGCAATACCTGCTAGTAGATATATATTTTACTTCATTCAGTTCGTTCTGCTGTTTGTGATCATATATGTTCGTTCGACAATGTCCGAGTGGTACAAGATATTAATGAGGACTAGTGAGTGAGTCTAGTAGGGCATCGGCTGATTCCATATTTCGCGCGTTTATTCTGGTGACCGCTCATTCAATAGGTTAGGTTGTCCCGGTAGTCAGGGGCATAATCCTGACTCATTTAGGAGTGGTTTGGCCCGTTGTTTGCCGCTTGGACTGTTCCACAGGCCAGTCTTCCCATGTTAGGCTTGGATTGATTTGAAAACATCACTCGTCCTTCCGGACTAGAATTTTTCAGCTGGCCATTGGTATACCGATACTCTCCTTATCCAGAAGGATGGGGACAGTAATACCGTATCTTGCCAGTTCGTCGGTAGAGGTAATGATAAGATCTGCTACAGTTCGCTATTTTCAAGCTGGATGATACTGCACTAAGCGATTTTATAGCCGCTTGGCTATCCGAATAAGTGCAGTTGTAAGAGCCTCCTGAATAGCGAGAATTTCTGCGTGAAAAACGCTATAATGGTCTTGGGTCTGAATGATTTATTTATGTTGAGTTATTCGAAAAAAAAAAAACACCGCCACTGACGCGACTGTTTAGCTTGGAGCCATTAGTGAAAACTCTAATTGAGTTG